AAAAAAAAACTATTTAATATACATTATATGTAAAATCTGACTTCGTATTTGGATTCCTCGGGAAATTTTAGCCTGTTACCTTATGACCAAAAACGTGATATTAAAACAAGTAGAGGAAATTGCTCTAATGTTGGTCTATGGATCTAAGATTGAGCCCATCGCTAAAAATTTGCTATTTATCAATTTTATCTAGATGAACGCGTCATTGAGACGGTACTAATTGATATTTTTGGTCGGTTGCTGAATTTATGTATGGGCCCAAATTAGGGGCATTTAGGCCGACATTACATCGATTTCCCTGTATCGAAATACCCTTGAATAACTACATCCAGCTAAGCATTCTGTTTAACCCTGAATGTAGATAACCAACAGACATGGAAGGGGGAATTTTGAAACATCTTTAAGTTATAATCAATTTGTATGGGTACAGGTTGAATGTACATTAAGGAAACTCAAGCTCGATGATTTTCTAAGAGAATTAAATATTTATTATTATTTTAGAAAAAAAACGTAGTTTTGTGAAAATGTCGTGGACTGCTGACGATTAAATTTTCTCAAAATATTCTCACAAGTTCCAGAAACATTCTGCAAGGGTACAGGGTGAAGGTTTAATGAAGATTTTTGAAAATTCACCCGTCCATTCAGCAGGACTCCCTAAAACAAGGGATAGGGGAAATGCAGCTAATGTCGGCCTAAATGTCCCTAATTTGGGCCCATACATGAATTCAGCAATCGACTAAATTTTCAATAGCAACCAAAAATATCCATTAGTAACGTCCCAATAACGCGTTCATCTAGATAAAATTGATAAATAGCAGATTTTTAGCGATGGGCCCAATCTTAGATCCATAGGCCAACATTAGAGACATTTCCCCTATGTGTTGTACGTTCAAAATCCTTCAAGGTACGCTATGATACGTTGTTGGTACACTACGAAAAACATAATTTTATTAAATTTTGTTTAAAGTGTCCTGCTGGATAGATTGACATGAGTAGACACACTGTAATTGCATTTCATGTATCAAATCGGTTGTCAAATACGTTTAAAATGCATCGAAGTTCAAATGATACCATCTCAATTTGGATTTGGATGGACATGTGTGCTTAACTTATTTTAGTTGACAGAATTGAAAGGTTTGAAAGTCTTTCAAAAAGTGATTGTTGAGTGTAATTCAATTAAATAGCAAACGAAATTAAACCTGGAGGCAACTGCAAAGTTACAGTTGGGAAGAAAAAATCAAAATTTCGAATTAACGAATCAGAATTTGAAAGGCACACTACCATGCACAGAGGTCGAATCGATTTGCCGTCTTCGACGAAGCTGTTCTGTATAGTTTCTCAATCTAAGTCCCAGGTTTGATGAAAATTGAGCAATTTTTGAAATTTTGTCAAGCAAATGAATAGTTTTCTTCTGTTTCCCATACATTTTCCCATACAAATTGCCGCAAATTACAAATTCAAAATTAGTTTCACGTGCAGATTGTAGAATATGCATAAATCTGTATAAATAATATATAAGTCATCTAATTTTAAGAGCATTCAATTGCAGTGGTTTGATAAACTTACCTCTCAAGCAGGCATGGAAAATCATTTAAATTCATTTCATGCATTCATCTACATTCATTTGCCTCTAATTTTTGTCATCAACAGCATTCCGCAAAATGATGTATAGAGCTTAAGTAGGTTTTGTTATTAGCTACAACTTTTGCCCATAACTTAAATCTGTATCTCTTATGCATCACGAATTATAGCGGGCAGAACTGGTTACTGTTTTTCAGTGAATGTAAAATACATTCATTGAAAAACAGTAGTGGCTTCTGTTCGGCCTGGTTCGTCATGCTTAAGAGATACGGATTTGAGTTGTTGGCAAAAGTTGTAGCTAATAACAAAAGCTCCATACATTACTTTGCGGAATTCTGTTGATGAAAAAAGTTAGGAGGAAATGAATGTAAATGAATGCACGAAATGAATACAAATTATTTTCCATGCCTGCTCTCAAGAGCACCAAGGGGGTCAGTGCTGTGACACAACCCGACTGTCCTGTTGCCGAGAAGCGAGCTTGCTCACGCAGGTTGCCGCCTTGGCATTCTGAGAGTTAATACACCAGCTTTGTTTTTGAAATCTTTAAAATTTATCTGATTTTAAAATCAGGTTGTGATCTAAATTATGCTTAAATAAGATCCTTTTGGCTGTAATAAGGCTAAATCGGATTAAATTTTAGTTATTAAGAAATGCAGAAAATTTAAACGAATAGAAGGTGTTTCCAGTCCATTTTCATATCAGACTTAGTAATTTTAAGAACATAAAACTCAAGATTTAAGAGGTTTAGGTATCTGTAAATTAAAAAAAAAACTTACTTCTCAGCAGCCAACAACAAGTATTGGTTTAAACTACGTGCATTTATAAAAACCTTTGTATTATTGCTTGTAGTATTGCAAACTTTTATGCGAAAAATAACGCAACAAAAAATAAACTTAAAAGTTAATAAAAAAAAAAAAAAAATTTAAAAACACTGTTGTAAAACCGGCAAATTTTTGAACTATTGACCAGGAAAACCTGTTACTATCCTATGCCATTTAAGAAGTCTAAGTTCTCAGTTTTTTGGATTACCTAATTCAAAAGTTGTGGATGAGATAATCTGATAAATCGCGCAGGATACGTTTGGAAATTAGGCCTGTTTAATCGCCGGGCTCTACCCGAGTTGAATTCTAACTACGACGATAAATATCCCTCGCTCTTTAGTAGCAAATGTGAACAGCAACATTTGGTAGGCAATCGTTCACCGTTCATTGTATTCATATACCAATGTTCTCTTTTATGTGTTTTGATTTGAATGGTGTTTTGTTTGTATTTTTAAAAGCACCAGATAATTTATTATACTGTTGTTTTATTGTAATACCTGGACTGAAGCCGCAATTCAATATTTTCGTGGATTTCAGAATAATAACATCATCCCATCAGGAAACTGCTGCTGGTGACTCATTTCATACAACACCGCCTATTCATCTTCTATTTCTACGACTTCCGTTATCAATCGGCATCAAATTAACCCTACGGCTCTATTCCGACCTATAATCTGCACAGATACCTATTTGTAGAAGCCACCCATAGAGTTCTCTCCGGAGCGACCGCACAGCTTAACCGACACTTGTACCTATAGTCTCTTCTTGTTCCCGGAAGTCATCCCCCCGGTCGCCGCTGCAAGATGGAATCTGCCATCGATCCCAATTTACAACCCAATTTAGTCTAATAGTTTCCTTCTTGTTGCAAAATCTCTAATCTGCTTTCCTTCGGCTTGTTTCCATCATCATCCAAGTGTGTGGACCAAAACTAACTGTGCTGTGTGTGTGCAGCAGCAGCAGCAGCAGCACACTTCATCAACCGAGTTAATGATTGCCTATCTTCATCTCGCTTGAATGGGTCACATAATGCACCTAGGATTTTACTAAATTCTTATCATTGATTTATGGCGAGCTGTGTGCCTTTCGCCTTATACATGCGTACTTGCTCCGTCGTCGTCGTCAAGTGTATGAGCATTTTCCAGATGGCAGCAGAAGAGATATCATCTCAGCAGCAGCTCAATCTTAGTCACGGTGTGGGAACGGTTCAGCAGCGCAAGGAGTGACAAGGGAAGACGAAATCGTCGGAAGCCCAAGATACAAGACAACAGCATCGGCTTTGTGCGAAAGTCAGGCTCAGAGGTCGGAGTCCAGTCCGGACCAACACTTGCCACAGCAGCTTGCCTTCGCAGTCTGACGTAAGAAAACCGATTTTGCTACAGCATCAATTTTTCATAAGCAAATCTTAAACCTCATAAGCATAAGACGACCGCTCTCGGATCGGATGCTGGCTGTCTGCTGCTGCTGCTGCAGCTGCCCTGGAGAAGCGCTGGAAGCTGTGTGTTGTCATTGCTGGACTATATCTCCATATCTCGAGTACATCTTCATTGGGGTACTTTATTGTGTTTGCCAACAACAGTAAAGGCATGTGCGTGAAAGAGAGAGGTACAAGAAGAAGAAGAAGAAGAAGCTATTAAGCAGTAGACTAACTCTCGAATCTTGGCACATTCCGGATTGCTCCTTCTGGAGCAGGGAATAACAACAGCACAAGAAGTTCATCGCATCATCGGAAGTTGTAGGTATTAGCATCTATCTCCTTCTCCGGATTGGTTCTCCATAAAGCATCCCGCAAAAGCTACCCGGCTGGATCGGCTGCCGTTTGTGTGACCCACACTCCCATCTCAGGTGTGCGTTGTTGTCGATTCCTTAACTAATCAAATTGCGACAAAGACAAGCTGCTGCTGCTCCCATTGTCCATAGGGCTGAAGTATGACTTAAGCCCCCATAGCTGGAGTTCTAATAATGGAAGGGGTTTCGGGAGATTTTCGGAAAAAGAAGCTCAATCGATTGGAAAGGAGCCGAAAGACGGGACGGAACACACAATATGCTGCCTTCTGTGTTTTCAGTTGAGGGTGTTATCAAATTGTGTGCATCTTAATTTTTATTGGCCGCAAAGCTCTTCCTAGCAGCAGGTTGTGTGTGTGTGTGTGTGTTGGCGTGTCGTCGTTTTGGGAAATGGGGACGAATAGTATACTCTTTCTTACAAATAGGTACAAAGATGGGATTGCAAAATCCCGTAGTTTGCTTGCACACTCTGTTGGGGCAGATATCGAAGAAGTGCGACAGACTTTCTTTGTGGATATTAAAAATTTAATTAAAATGCATAACTTGCTACTGCAGATTCGACTGGCTGATATGTCGGTTGGACGTCAGTTGCTATTATTGAATTTTATGGCAAATTGAAGTTCTTACAAATGCGTCCTGGGATTGTTTAGAATATGGAATTTGGTTCGGAGTGGTTAGCCTGAATGAGTCTCAAATAGACAGGATGTCTCCTTGCTAGTTATGGATGGTTATGCATCCAATACTTTTAGTTGTCTTTTAAAGTTAATCTAATAAGAGCATTTACTTATAATCTTCATTTTATTTGATTCGTTTCAGGTATGTGGACACCATCAGATGTTATGTGCTATGTTATAAAAGTGAATGTTGTGTCACATTCCTAGAAAAACGATCCAAGTTCTGGCAAGGTTGTGCACTATTTAGGCTCAAGGTGGAAGAATCCCGCAATAAAATTGCTAAACGCAGCTGTCAAACTTCAAATCATTTCAGTTTCATGCCGGCGATCAAACAATTTAGAAAACGAAATTTACTGATAAACTTTGTCTAAAACTCTAGATGAATCTTTACGGAACCACATGAAATACCTATCATAGGTAACCTATGTATATATATATAGGGTATACGTCCCTAACCTCGGTCTAATATGCAGCCATCGATTACGTTTTTAATCATAACTCATCAATGAATTTACCTGCAAACGATATTCTACTGCTAAATGGTATGCTTAGATATGCTTATCATGTCGTTTGCTATCAGAAACCACGAAAAGTTGAAAAACTTACTTTTTTTAAGACAATAACTCACGAGGGAAATGTATGTAATATGGGTCTATTGTCCCCAAATTGGGTCTATTTATGGATGCAACTTCGTCCTATCTTGTTTGATCCTCAAAAAAAACGCTCTTGGTAACGTTTTCTGATGTATTTTTTTTATCACTATCACTGTTAACTTAATGCTCTTCATTCCTCAAAACATTTCTTAGAGAAAATTTTACGAAAACTACATTAAATCACTCAATTTAAAAATTAAAAATTAAAAATTTCGCTTATCGTCTTTTGACCGCAGAATATCTAAATCAGAACATTGTGATGTTCATTATACAGGTTTGGCAGAAAAAATCTCCCTTCCTGTTCGTTCCTTATCATCCAAATGCAAAACAACATTGTTGACGTTACTCTTATTGCTATATGCTGTCAAATGAATTTCATGGGCCATAGTTAGGAACATAGAAAAGAAATGTGTCCCTAAAGTTGGGTCCATGTTTTACTTGTGAAAACGTTGTTAAACAATTAAAATAAACATAAAATATTCAAACAGCAACTGTAAGTTTTACGTCTAGTGTGTATTATCAGGTAATTCCAATCAATAAATGCCATAATCAGGCCATTTGATGATCGTCAGTCAACCTTCCCATCTTAACCTTATAAGTCATGGCGGCTAAAAACTCCGAACATTGTGATATTCTCAACCAGTTTTATTACTTACGAGAGCTGAAAATGTATTGAAATGTTGTGATATAAATTGATTTGTGTGTGGTACACATTTATCAACCATCAGTGATCAATATTTTCCTTATTTTTTGTGTAATATTCCTTAATTAATTATTTATTTGCGTGATAGGCCGAATGAAAGGACTAGACCCACATTACATACCGTAACCCTATATCTTTTTAATTTGGAAGCTTAGAAATTTAGAAAGGTCTGAAATGCAAGATGGCACTCATTTGGGTAGAATAATATGTCGTGACTGTTAAAATATTTTAATTTACTTTATTCGGCAAAATTATGCATATTTAAAATTTCTAATTTCTATAAAAAGCAGTTTTTATTTTCAGGGCACCCCTAAGTCAATTATCAGCATTTTTAAATTCTTTATTTAGGAGATTTTTAGCCTATGGCTAGATCATCTCTGGATCAATTATCAGTAGTTCATCGACCATCTCCGATTTGCATGAAACTTTGCATTCACATATTTGCTCAAATTCAGCCATTTTGAATCTTTTAACTCGTGTTGACATTTTGGATTTTTTTTTAATCCTTGCTAACATTTCAGGACAGTTAAGACTTTGTTAGACCATTTAAGCGTTTATTTGAATTTGCATTTTAGCGTTATTTAAGTTATTTTAGAGGTTGACGCCAGTTTTTGTATTTGTATTTATGCGTTAAAAGGCAATTTTGTGTTTTATGGCCATTTTGGCGTCAGTTTTGTTGCATCGATTGGATACCACGGAGATACAAAACACCAGTGGCCTCCCGTAGCCAAACTTTTTACCTGTGCACCAACTTTCAAAACCAGATTTAATGCCATAGAGTAGAGAACAACTTCGGCCTAATCGCCCATTTTGGGCCTATCGAGCAGAAAACTTCAAATAAATCCATGATTTCAGAGTTAACAAGTCAATTATGCAATTGTTACGATACTTTAGTTAATAAGCTACGGAACGAAGTCAATGAGAACGCGTGATATGAAGGTTTGCACCCATTATTCCCAAAAACAAAAGAAGCGCTCCGATCGAATCAATTTTTATCTTCATCCGATAGGACGAAGTGAATTCATTGGCGTTTCAATGGCGGTTTCAATGCGTTAGGCCGAGTTTAGCGTCAAGAAGCAGTGTTAGACCTTTGACAATATCTCAACGATTGGTTTGGATTGATAAATCTTACGGTAATAATAACATTCTGTTTAGTGTTAAACTGCGCCAGATTAAGAAAGACTAAGTGCTGGTTATGCTTAATAGGCCGGAAATGGAGTAGTTAACCCTACCTTCTCCGATTTGTATAAACATTTGCGTAATTGTTAATTATGGGCAATGATTCACATTTTTGTTAAAATTCGGGCACTTTGGATCATGTAGAATTTTCAAAATGGCCTCTGTGAAATTTTCAATAAATTGTAGCACAGAAACGGCATTGGACACTTGAAAACTGACAAAAATCGTAGAAAATGAACTTTTAATATTTTTTAAATTTTTTGATGGTATGTTTTTTGAGTATTTTCAGAAAATTACTTAAAATGTCCCAAACATTCTTTACAGTATAAATTACATTAAAAAAACATTTTAACAAAAAGTACAAGAAATTAACCGAATCCTTTGTTGTACGATTTTTGTCAAGTGTCCATAATTTTAAAAAGTAAAAAAAAAAAACATTTTTCTTGAGCTTTTTTCTAAGAAAAATTTATAAAATCGGATAAGAACCTTTTGAGATATTTAGTTTTTCAATTATTTTTAATTTTTTTCTTAAATTACTACAAACATTTTTGTGTGTTTTACTCAACAACTTTGACTCAGACGTTATTTCGATTAGAAATGCCGTTTCTGTGCTACAATTTTTAGAAAAACTTTTGAGACTCCATTTGAAAATCTTAAAATATCCTAAATGTAAAAATTTCAGTGAATCATCTCCTATAACTAACAATTATGCAAATCGGAGCAGTTTTTTCGATTCGTCACTAGAGATTCGTGAGGGAATCCAAACGGCCAATAATAGAGACAAAACGCTCGCGACGACGACTACGATAAACTCTCTCTCTCTCTGCTATATAGCTATATAGTAGAAGGAAAACGAAGTATTGTTTGCAAGACATTGTTGCAACAAACATTGTTGAGGACATAACTTGATCGGAACGGTGAAATTACATAGCAAAAAATCCCGATTTACTTCTGTGTATCATTTCCTGCGTATGTCGTAAAGCAGCTTGCAAACAATTTTATCGTTTCGTTCTACCGTTTTATATTGCAGAGGCAACTTTACATGAAAAAAGGGAGGATTGTGCCATTATTCGTTGCCGTTTATGACAAAGCGTTATAATTTGGCTCGTTTATCGTTTGTCATTTTGTCATCTTGATAGGGGAAATGGATGTAATGCCGGCCTAAATGCCCCTAATTTGGGCCCATACATAAATTCAGCAATCGACTAAATAGCGATCAAAAATATCCATTAGTATCATCCCAATTAAGCGTTCATCTAAATAAAATTGATAAATAGCAGATTTTTAGCGGTGGGCCCAATTTTAGATCCACAGACCAACATTAGAGCCATTTCCCCTATATATTTGATTCCCTGACGATAGCCTCCGATAGGAATCCGTGGAAATTCGTGTTAGTTCATCACATCAACACAATATATCTTTGACTCTCAGAAATATCCTGGAGCTCATATTTGGTATCCTACAGATTCAACGATGTCCTGATGGAGCTCGTAGTGACAGACTTCTTCCATTTTTCCAAAATACTGATCTTGATGTTCTACAGGTTCAACACAGTTTTGTACCGTGTATTGATTTATTTTACGACTCCGTGGTACTTTGTGGGACCTCATCAAATCATGGGAGATACTAATTTGTGTTAACAAAATCAATTTGAGGTTATCCCAAACACCGCAAGCTCCACAACACTCTACAGGTTCAAACTATATTCGGGACAGCGAACAGTGTCGATGAGTGTGTTAGAACATCAAGATTTGAACTCCAGGATGATCTGAAGAATAAAAGACATTTCTGCAACAAAACGATACATCTCACATGATGTGACGAGGTCTCACGAACCTCTAAAGACTCGTGCATTTAGTCGAGAGATCCTGTTAAACTTTATTGGGCATGTAGAACGTCAAAATCAACTATCGATAATAATTTGGAGAATTTATTGTACTTCGTAAACGCCGTTTTGTTTCTCGATGAATGCTTGGAGCCTCCCTCAGCTCGGTTAGTAAAGGCGCCGCAATAATTCAAGATCATGGTTGAGGCGCGAACCATTTTCACGTTCCGTCTTCCATCTGCACTCCACCGTAGGTGGTAAGCTACACCTTTCGTTCGAAACACCAAGTTGGTGCTTCACGAGCATAGTTCATGTCTCGTGACCTTAGAGGGTTCCACCTGTCTAATCAGCGTTTTGTAGATAGTCAACTTCATATTGTGGAGAACTTTATTCGACCGGAGCGTCTGTGTCTAAAGTAAGCACGATTCCCTGAAATAAAAATGGAACCGAAATCCAAAAATTTCCTGAATTTTCGTGCATTGGTACTATTTTTAATAAGTGCGATTACATGAGCAAAAATCACCATCTTAGCGTCCCTCGGTGGGACTTTCTATGAGAGCAAACTGTCAATTTTTTAGTTTATTGTTTGCTTTAAATCTTGATTTAAAAATCTAGATAAAAGTCTATGGGACCGTAAAATATATTGTTGTGCTCAGAAAAGTAGCTTTTTCAGTTGATTTATAATAACCGATAGGGGAAACGCTCCTATAGTTGCGGTACGTTAGAAGCGTTAGGTTCCTATAGTTGTGCATGAAGACTCAATAAACAACTATAGAAACCTAACGCTTCTAACGTATCGCAACTATAGGATCGTTTACCCTATATATTTTTCAAAATGTAAGCTCCCAATATGCGTCTTTCAATTTATCTGCTGGTGT